TAATCTCAATATCGAGTATGTACTCAATGGTGGTAGAATTCCACGAAATAATGCATGTAAAGCATACGTATACTTCCCACGATCACTGCGACGCTTTGCGGAATACCTCAAAGTCGTGGAATAATCAGACCTCACACAAAATTGGGTTAACTAAATCCGTACGGCAAACAAGCTGTAGTACACATCTTGATATTCATCCACATGTTGATCATGCTGGCAAATCCAAATTACTAACTATACACCGCCAATTAATCAGGATATCTAAGAAACAATGAAAATATGCTGTTAGTCGCATTTCGAATCTTAGTGACTCATTCGACGATGTTATTCTACCGCTGAATGCTTCATTTGTCACTTTGTATGGATTAGTTCGCAGTCATTCTGGTTCCTGACAGAAATTAATTAAAAATCCGCCGGCTGCTAATTACTTCCTTACATGTTTAACTGGACACTAACAGCTGTAATAATAATATACATTTCACATAAATTAAGCATTTACATGATTAACATACCGTTTGTACAGGCATGATCATATTTGATAAGTGCAATTTGAAATGGAACACCGTTTTTTTGTCACCAAAAATTGCAAAAATGGAAAAAAACCTCTAGAAACTTTGTTAGAATAGATTACAATATATTGGTTAAAGTCTAATTTATAGTCTATAATATACTTATAGTCAGTTAAATTTATGCGGGAATTACGAAATGTTGCGTTAATGGAAGGTAAGAAGAGAGGTGATTAACATGTGCTAGAGTACGACATACAGGATACAGGCCTTGTGATCATTATCATTTTGTCAATTAACAAGGGTTCAAAAATTAAAAAAACTCCATAGTAGAGGGTAAGTACAGCATTATTTTGGTAATAACAGATACAAGGGACCAAGTGAGCCTCTTGAAGATGATATTGCTGAGAACATCATTGTCGGCAAACTAACTAACGTTTCACAAGCCACTTTCACATATTCTTCAATAGCCCTGCTATATGTAACGCAGCCTACAGTTGTCACGCGCATTTTCGACAAGTTTAAACAGCATTGGTGCTTAGATTTAAATCACGTAAATTGTTTTTCCTATGTAAAGTGGACCTGCAGACATTTTTCCATTACCTTTCCTTGCTTATATATATCTGTGTCGGTGAAAGTGTAAATATGCTTGCCACATGTATATGTTATATATCATATTGATGAAGCCTGTAAACTGGATATGTCGTGTGGGAGGCATGCGCACTGCTTCCATCCTCCTACACCTATAGCTTCTAAGAACTCGTTATTGATTCCAGGTCCAGTGCAGGTATCCCAGTTCACTTCGGGACGGTTGAAATCGCCACAAACTAGTTTGTAGTCGAAGTCCAGCGTAGGTATGTGCTCTGGCGTTTCTGCAATAGCCGTATCAATCATTATACGGCTATAAGGAACACTGTACATCCATCCCACGAGAATTTTATTTTCGTTCGTGTTGAGGCCTATCGACTTAGATTCTGGGAGTTTGTCGATAGTTGGGCTCGTAAAAGTATTAGAGTCAGTGGATTTAGAAGCAAGTTTACAGTTTACAATTTATTTAGGATAGTAGGCTATATGCCTGTGTTAATCCTTTCGATTTGTTACACACAGGAGGTCCAATCTCGCCTTGAATGAATCAACGGATGGCGCTGATACGACGTGTTCCGGTAGGGAGTTCCAATGGTTCACAATTCGATGTGAAAAACGGATCTCCAGACGCAGACGATTCGACCGTGGTTTTTGAACCTTGAGGTGATGTCCCCGCAACTGGTTGGTGCTAGAAGGAAGAAATAAATTAGATAAATTAGCTCCAAAATCATTTCTTAGGATACGGTATGCTAGTATTAGGTCACCCCTAAGTCGTCTGTATGACAGTGGAAATAAACCCAGTCGACTTAACCTCTCTTCATATGAGAGGGTTGAGAAACCCTTTATTAGCTTAGTTCCTACTCTTTGCACCCCTTCCAATAAGTCTATTTCGTATTTGAAACACTGGCTCGCTGCCTGGATCCCATATTCCAAATGAGGTCTGATACAAGTCGGATATAATATATGAAATATTTCAGCGTCAAAATTCGCAAAAGCTTTGCGTATGGCCCATAATATTCGAAAACCTTTAGTGGCTGCAGCTCTACAGTTTGTTGCTGTTTTCAAGTCATGCTGCACAACCACTCCCAAGTCCTTGTACTCAGTGACCACTGGAAGAGTAATGCC